CCTCCCAGCGGTTCTCTCATTGACTGGGTGATCAGAGCGCCACGGGTTGTAAATTACCTGCCACCTTCATCAATGTCGCCTTCTTAGTGATCGCTGACGCCCGTATATTTTATCTTAACAACTTTAGAAATGTCCACGTCGAGTTCCTTTCTGTCTGGACGTGTGAGGTTCACGCATGCTAAAGCCCTGTGTCGTACACGCCTGACACTGTGCAGCCGTGATCTGTATATTATTATCAAACATACTTTTTCCAACGTCGAGCTGTCTTTAATGTGTCCCACCAGTGTACAACTTTTTACTGCGTGATTATTTCCAAGTTGGGGTGAATGTGCAGCCCGATCCAAGTCATGTGTCGAGGATTATGTTTTTCTTATCCCCTTCTAGTGCGCGCGTGTGTGTGTTGTATGTGCAATACGGCGAAACCATGGAATAAAATGTTCAAAATCGATTAGAGATCGCATTCCATTGTCAATAGGTGGAAGACCTGGCTTTGAAAGTGGGCCGTCGAGAGGACCATTTTTGTTAATGTAGCCCTTTCAGCGAAAAGAACGGTATAATATATGGGCTTACTTTTCTGCAGTGAGTGAGGAGTCTTTTAGTTGCTACAAACGTCGCCATCAGACTTTGGTGCTTGAAGATAAAGGAGAAATTATACATAATACATGAATACAGTACATGCCATTGCTGTTATGCGTTTGCCACCATCATTTAGCCTCTGCATTAAATATGGAGGGTAAATATAAGAATTGAGGTATCTTCATTATGGTCTAATCAAAAGTATTTGATCAAGTTTTCTGAATTTCACAAATCGTGTCATGTCAGTTTATGTAAAATCCATTGCACACTGATTTTTAAAGAGAGACAGCTTTTTTGTATTTGAGCGGGTGATTATCAGGGGGAAAGTGTACGTGCGAATGGGCGGCATTTCATTCATATGTGTTGTTGATAGACCCCTCACCAAGAGGACACACTATGACGTCACGCGAGCCTTTATGGTGGCCGAAAAGTAAAACCGTCGAAGCGGAGACAAATCCAAGTTCTGGGAAGTTACTTTTCTTGTTCGTGTGCTTGACCAAAATGATTTCCTAAACGTTTACACGTTTGTCTCCCTAAGGGGGCCGTGTTGGCTTAGTGCTGACCAGTTGGAAGCAACGTGCAGACATGTCACCGTCATTTTGTGTAAACATAAGTAAGAACCACACGCACGTTCCCCCTGTCTACGATCTTGTGTTGCATGGTCAGTAGCTAATCAGTTCTGGAAACAATTTTCCAGTGCTTTGAGCCATGACAAAAGACTTAAAGTAAGAGCCTCGCCGGTTCTGAGACTCCTGTCCACTCTGTCTTTGTCATTCCACCAATCCTCTTCCTTGTGCGGCCAGTTTTGTTTTGACTAATGTTTATGTTCTGCTACGCGTGTGATCTCATAGGCACGTTGGTAGACCTGCAGTAATAGCGGTGGCTAGAGTCTCTGTGTGCTGGTGTCGCTTCTGTGGATGTATTCTTGGGTATTTTCTCTACTGCGTGTGGTAACGTTATGCAGGCTGGTCATGATCTGGCATAAAATGATAAAAGTGGCTTTGTTGAATCTGTTCGTTTTTTAACAGAAATTAATTAGGACCGTTCACAATATTAGTTTATAGAAATGCGTCATCAAAATTTATGTAGTGTTTATCTTGCAAATTGTCAGTAGGGGTATACTGAGATTATTTTTTAAATCATCCGTCCGATAACCTTGAGACACTTATATTTCTACGAGACCTCACTTCCGCTTTTCGCTCATCACTAAGCGCTCAACAAAGTCCGCTCCCAGAATACAACTCGCATGTTTTTGGAGCCCAAGGGCAATTGGATGATGCTTTATAGAATCATGACACTTTTTGTGTTAGACACTTTAAATTCATCTCTCTCTCTCTCTTTCTCTCTCTCTCTCTCTCTCTCTCTCTCTCTCTCTCTCTCTCTCTCTCTCT